CTGGGGCGGGCTGGGCGTTCTCTGCTCCCGGCGGCGGCGGCTTTGGGCGCGGCTCAGATCTGACGCTGCGGCGGCGCGGGTGGCCTGGGCCCCTGTGGTGGCGGGGCCCTGGCTCGCTGCAGGTGGTGGCCGGCTCCGGTGCCCGCCCCTGCTACGGCGCTCTCTGGTGGTGGCGGGCCTGCCGGCCCCCAGCCGATCCGGCGATGGCAGGTGCCGCGGGCTGTGCTCGGCGTGGATGGGGCTGTCACGGCGTGGTGGTGGCTCTTGGCGGTGGTCGGGTCCGTCTCACGGCGGCGGCTGGACTTCTTCGTCGTCGGCCCGTCGGTGAGCGGCTTGTGCAGGCCGTCGTCCCCCCTCTCGGTGCCCGGGTGCAATCTTCGTCGGAGGGTTGGCTCGTCCCCAGCTTTGGTCCATCGCTCGTCTCGCGCTCGGGCTGCAGGACCGATCTCCTCTCCCGCCTGGTAGCAGGACCGAGTTCGTCTCGCGCACGACTGCAGGACCGAGTCTCGCGCCCGGCGACAGGACCGAGCTCGTCTCACGCACGGTGCAGCAGGACGAGTCGATGGAGGCCAGATGCTTGGGGGCGCTCAGTCTCTTTGGTTGGGGGAGCGGCGGGTCTCGGGTGTGGTGGTGTTTAGGCCTTGGATGCCGGGGCGACGGCCCTGGTGGTGGTTGCGCGGTGCTCAAGGGCAGAGCCCGTGGCTCAGTGCTGCCCGGTGACTATGGCCGTGGGGGCGGTGTGGTTTCCGGGGTGTGGCGTTCGGTGGCAGTGAGTGTTGGCCGGGGTGAAAACCCGCTCTTTCTTCGGATGGACCGGCGGCGGCGAATCTCGCTCCCTTCCTGAAGGCGTCGTCGCAGCTCTCATTGCCCGTCGTGTTGCTCTAGGGGAAACTCTGACCCTCGGGTCGGGCGGTGGCGGCGCTCCGGTGTTGTTTCCTTCCTGAAGGCGCCGCCTTGGAGCGCACGGTTCGTCATATGTGGCTTCATCTCATCGCAGTGGCGTGTTCACGGCGGCGGACCCCGGTGGCTATTGTAGTGCTAGGGGAGGTGTTGCTGCGTTCAGCATCTTTGTATCCTGCCTTGGGTGTGTGCGTGTGTTTTGGTGGCGTGCGTTTGTACCGTGTTGTTGTGGATTGTGCTTTATATATAAAGCAGGGCGAAAGCCTTTTTCAGTAACTACAAATGTACCATAAACGTTACACAGCTGGGCCCTGAAGCCGGTTCACTATTTCCTCTGCTCTAGCTTGTATCTCTTTTATATATTCGACAAGTACCCGTTGCTGATAAGAACCTCCTTCCTGTCAAAAATAAAAATAAAAATTACAGAGACAAAATTGTGTGAGGGGATGCTCAGGGCAAGGCACTGACAAGTTAAAATAGTTACATAGAACTCAGGAGGTTATGAATCTTACCGTGCGAATCAAGATTCTCTCAATTCTCTTCTTGGTAACAGCGTAAAATTCTTCAGGTGAAACATCTCCCTTTCCAACTGTAAGTCCATCAAGCAACAGCCTATTCCAGTCATTTTCGGGAGCTGCATTGCACAAACTCAACATATCAGAGGCACTGATTATAGACACAATATAAACAATCTCTTGGGTAAAATTCATACCCTCTATTATCGATTCAAGAAACTTTTCAGGCACTACAACCTCTCCCCCTGAGAATGTCAACACAGGCACTCAAGACTCAACCAAAAGACGCAGTTATTTCTCAATATTTGTAGCTGGGAAGACATAAAGAAAGGATTACCTTTATAAGCGTAACTGCGCTTTCGGAGAAAGTTGGAAGCATATAGTTGCAACACCTTTTGAAGCATTACTTGAAGCCCTGGCTTATCTACTTCGTCTTTAGCCTAAACACATGTAAATATTACTAATATCAAGAATAATCCACGTTATATAATAATTTAAAACAACTCAAACCTAGAAAGCAAAAATAGTAGCACTTACTTGCCTCAGCTGAGCATTAACTTCTGACAGAAAACTCTCATCTAGCTGTCCTTCTTTTTCTCTGTTTGATATTTCCTGGGGATGTCAAGAAGACATTAAAAATCAGAGCACAATATGGAGAACAAGGTAAAATACTAGTATGGCTTAAAATTACATTTTAACATACACATCTTTGGAGCCCAAACAATTCAGTTTCAAGAAAGTAACTGCAGGTACTTCTTTTGGAATTGATAAAAGAAACTTGCGCCCGCGTCGCCCCTCCCGCGGGTGCCACGGGCGGCGCCGCCACCTCCTGCCGCTAGCCCTCCCCCTCCTCCCCTTCCCCGCCGCCGCCGGCCAGAGCCGCCGGGGCAAAGCCCCCCGCGGTGGCTGGCGGCGGGCGCCTTCACCCCTCCTCGCGTCCGTGGCCTGCGGGAGCGGCCAAGCCGCGCGGAGGCGCCGGGGCGCGCGGATCCTGGCGGCGCGGCGGCGACAATCTTGACGGCGGCGGGCCCGATGGCGCGGCTGCAGATGGGTCGTCGTCTAGCTGTGTGGCGGCTGCGTGCGGGTCTCCTCGTGGCGGCGGCCTTCGCCGGCGGCGGGGCGGCACGTGCGCGGCATCCCGCCAGGGGTGAGGACGCGGCCGCGGTGGCTTCCCGTGCGATCTCATCTGGTACGCGGTGAAGAGGCTGCGGCGTGTGCCCTCGGGGAGGGTGGATATCCTCGCCCAGATACGCCGGCGGCATGGCGACGGAGGTCGCAGTGGCCGATGGCTCGGCCGGTCGGCGGCGGCGGAACAAGGCCGGTGGCAGCGGCAATGTTCTGTCTGGATCCCGGGGCGGCGGCCCTGGATGGTGGCGGCGGGTGAAGCTCGGGCTTCCCGCGGCCGCATGGCGTGGTGCAGTCCCTGTCCAAGGCGGATCTGTGACGGCGATCTGATGGCGGATTGGTTCGGATCAAAGACGGTGACGAGCGCACGGGATCCATCTCAGCGGCTCTCGCGGTTTGGCGAGGTGGGGGTGGGAGCCCTCCTCCCAGGCTCTAGTGGTGGCACACTCTGGCAGTGGCCGGTGCGCCAGGGCTCCTACGGTGGCACTGCTGTTGCAGTTGGTTGCCGGATCTAGGTGGCTAGATCTGGGGCTTTGAAGGCGGTCGAGACGGTGCACAGGTTGTCGGGCGGATTCCTTGGGACGGATCCGGGTGAAAACCTGGTATTCGGTCGTTGGCCAGAGCCGGTGATGACGATGCCCTTATCATCGTTTCCTTCATGAAGGCATCATCGAGGTGAAACTCCCAACCCCACCCAATACTCCGAGGGAACCCTAGATCAGTTGATCGGATGACGGCGGCATTCATGTGTCGTTACCCCCTTGGGGGCGGCATTCTTGGAGATGCACTCGGGCTCGAGGGACCAACGGTTGGATTCTTCGGTGGAGCACTGTTTCTTTCTACATATTCATGGCAGAGGTTCTTGGCGGCATGGAGCAGCGGAGACTTGGCGTCGGATGTGTGGCGATGGACATACGCAGGAGGTCGACGATGTCTGGCGTCGTGGTGGCGTCGGCAGCAGCTAGACCGGGCAAGGTAGATGCAGCAGTGCAGCTCTGAAGATGGATTGGTGGCAGGTGGCTGCGGCGGCCTCATACCCGGCAGGCGTCCTGGTTGAGGAGCACGCCGGACTGGTGGGTGCCCATACCCGGCAGATGTCCTGGTTGGGACCTCAGGTCTTAGATGTTTAGGGCTGCGAGGTCTGTTTGGTATTAGGCCCAGACTATCAACATCCCTTCATCAATTGGATAGAAGTAGAGACAGTTTGTTGCCTAGACGGTGGCTTCAGTCTTATTGTTGTATCACTTTGTAAGGTCTTGTGTGAATAATTAATAAAATGGCTGCATGCATCATCCAGATGCAGAGGCCGGGGGTCCTCCTCCATTTCTAAAAAAAAAAACTTGCGCAAAGCATGATTGAAATTAAATTATATAAGCAGTACAAATGTCCATATTCTTGCACTGATTTTCACATTTGACAATTATAATGTGAAAAACAACTACTGTATAGAACAAGAGATTTGTGCTTTACTTTTTCCATCAATTTGAGAGCCTCCGGATTTCTCGGTGGCCACATCCCATCTTCTCCTTCATTCATAACAGGACTAATAATTGCCTTCAGAACATCAGTTGACTGTTCAATCTTCTCCTGAATTATAGGGATTAAATTAGCAGCATGCAAGGAACACGTAGTAATCATATTAAAAATACAAAGGCTTGAGGAATTCACATCAAGTGGCAGACAGTAGCACTTAAATGAGGATATCCATGAAAGAACATGGCTCTTACATCAGTCTTGTGGACGACACGGTCAACTATGTTCATGACATTCTCTGCCAGTTCTTCATAATCTTTCTAAAAAACAAATGGGAGATGGATGCTATAAAAAGTGAGAAAATTGATGATAAAAAAGACAATAACCGCAATTAGTAGAAATAAATCCAGATGTGCAACCATACTTTATCATCATCCGATTTGCATAGATCAATCCGAGCAGCCAGCCGAACCCAGAAATCCTCACTGAACGCTAGAATATTTTCAACCACTATTAGATCAAGCTGTTTGCATGTAAGAAGGTACATTAGTTCTTCATCTGGTACTTTTATGTAAAATGATAAAATTAATACACTCAAAGATTTGTCAACTTTACAAATCATATCATACCTGAAATATACTAGGCATACTAATAAAATCTAGCCGCGTATTTGGGCACACTTCGAACACTCTCAACATATACACACAAAAAAGGCAAATTTGATAGCTCATAAGGATCTGCTATACTTTAAGTAGCTAATCAAATGTCACTAACCAACCAATGCCAAGCTTGGTTCTACCAATTATGAAATAAGCAAGGGGAGGATACTCGAAGCACATATGAGCCAAAGATTTACATATTGAATGAACTGATGATATACAACAAATATAGTTCAACACTGAAATATAGGGAAAGGAATTGTAGCTTCTTGTGACAAGAAAGATCAGTAAAACTGAAGATATGCAGCATGGTTACCTCTCTGGGATTTGCATCTCTAAGCATATCAATCAGCCTATCCATTTCAATGGTCTTCTTGAAGGATTCTTCAGGGCCTTTAACGGCTGCGCATAACAAAGTGTTCCTGTTTGGTATTGAAATCATAAGTTTTTACCGAACAATATGAATTCCACGTCACACCATCTAGTCCCATGCAATCTCTAATAGAAAAATAAAACGTTCGAAAGCAAAATCACATAATGACTCACATGTACTCCCTCTGTCTCAAAATGTAAGACGTTTTTTGACACTAATTATATTTTGAGACAGAGGGAGTATATGGTAGTATCAGAGTTCATGAACAAACATAGAATGAAAATACTTATACAAGAACCAGAAGTTTTCATCACTAGCAAAAATATTATGACTTTCTAGCATTGGTCATGCTTGCTAACCTGTTTAGCGCTGTAGGGCCCATCTAGTTAAATTTCCACACTCACATTTAGTGAATGTAAACAATGCTATTACCACTACAAATTGGAAACTGTGCACAGTACAAAAATTTCCGAATGAAGTGCATCTTAGGTCCTCGAACTATTTCAAAGGTGTCATGTAGGTCCGCAAACTATGAAAAGTGTCATCTAGGTCCTCAAAAATCCTTGAACTGTAATAAGTGTGTATATATGTGACACCTCCGAAATAGTTCAAGGACCTACATGACACCTTTGAAATAGTTTGAGGACCAGGATGACACACATATTGCACTTTGAGGACATGGATGACGATTTTCATACTTCGAGTACCTACGTGACACCTCTGAAATAGTTCGAGGACCTATGATGCACTTCACTCAAAATTTCCCCAACTCATGTATGATGTATCTCCCAATCCCATACAATTTCAGCTAAGCAGGTAACATGAACTGTCCTTTTGTAATTAGAGAAATAAGTTAAACCAGTTTAGACAAAATGTCGTTCCTTCAAACAGGAAAGCATCCAGTATACACAAGAGAACCAAACTGAAAGAAAACAGAGAGCAAGCGCACAGCACGAACCTCTTCCGCGGATGCGCGTGGAAGGCTCTCCTCCGAGAGGAATGCGTAGGCATCCCCCAGCACCATTGGCGCAGCGACCCCTAGCCAGTACAGAATGGATTAAAGGAAGAAAGCAAACGGTCAGAGAACCCTTGAGCTCGCTGGGGAAGGAGAAGAACAGAGGCGCGAGATGAAGAGGGCGCAACCGCAAGCCGGGGCGGGAACGGGGACGGCGGCGGGCGGAGCGACGTGGAGGCGGTGGCCGTCGCCATGTGCGGCCCGGCGGGAGCGAAGCGCGGTGGAGGGCAGAGAGAGCGCGCGCGTGGTCTGCTCCACGAATCCCAAATCCAATCCTGACAAGTAGGAGTGGCCATTCGAGGGCTAGTTTAGTTTGGGAGGAATTCCTTATTTGGCCCTTTTTAAAATTTTGCTTTCCATTTTGGTCCAAAAAACTATTTTTTTTTTGACACTTAAACTTTATTTTGTTTCCTATGTGACACTTCCGTCAGATTTGGTTAATAACGGTGTTAAGTCTGACGTAAAAAGACACTTTTACCTCTAGTGTAGTATGTAACCAGATTATTCACATGCAAACAAAGAGGTAATATGATATATTTTGTCGTGGTTGGATAAATAAAAAAAAGTACTATATGACTAATCATCAAAAAAATTGCGGGGGATTAAAAATAATAGGATGAGTGGAATAATAACTACCCATTCAGCTTCTACTGTAGGCTGTAGTGTATAAATTTGTGCAGATTAATCATGCGGGTGATAGTTTAGACCTCGATGGATGATGTCCCTGAGCTGTGTTCGCGCCTCAATTTGCTGCACAAGCTCACGCCACAATCGAGTAAAATGTCTCCACCGAATCGTTCCAAAAAATATCTCCTCAATACCATGTATATACATGAATCAGCAGGATAGTTACGAAAGTATTCCGCCGAGATCGAATTGATCCGAACGATTAAGAGCTAGCTTTTACTGATTCGCGTACGCATGTGAGGTGCCGGCTAGACGTGCGTTCACTGTTCAGGCGAAATCAATCAAGCGCTTGCATGCTTCTTGTGCTAGCTTGTACCTACTCGTGCGTGAGCAACTGGGGCACGTTTGGTTCCTGGGCAAGCGCTTGCCTTGCCTCGCGAAGCAAAAAGCAGAGGGTTTGGTTCCTCGGCCAGCTTGTCTCGTTGCCTGCAATTTTCAGCTTTTTCCTCATTTGCTTGAGCGAGCCGATTTGGCTAGCCTTCGTTGGCAAGGCTAGCCTTGCCTAGCTAGGTGTGTGGGCATGGGATCCAAACACGCCCTGAGTGCCGCGCTCTGGCGGATCGAGTTGTGCAACGCGACTGGTCGGGCACTGGTGCATATGAATATTTGAATGTGGAATCTCCAACGCGCAACACTTTCATACATTTATATTCACGCTCCTTCTCTTCCCTTTCTTGGTGACATGTATTACCACCAGGGGTAAAATTGTCTTTGTACGTCATAGCTAACACCATCGGATGAAAAAATGAATGAAAGTGTCACGTAGGGAACAAAATGAAGTTTAAGTGTCAAAAAGGGAAAAATGAAGTTTTTTGGGCCAAAAAGGGAACCAAATTTTAAGAAAGGGCCAAATAAGGAATTCTCTCTTAGTTTGGCTGCCCTATTTTCTTTTTCCTTCGAAAAACACTAGGTTCTGTTTTGAACAAATCAAAAATCTAGGAATTTTGAATGATGGGATTTCTATGAAAATTTTCATTTGGTGCCGTTTTGACAACGAAATTACTAACCTAAATTTCTTGAAATTCCCATAGAATAGGGAGAAAAGCATAATTTTTGTCCCTCAACTTTTGACGGAGTCTAAATTTGGTTCCTCATCTTTGAAATTGGACAACTTACACCCACAACTACTAAAACTGGACAAGATTCATCCCTGGTCTTGGTTTTGAGCGGTTTTGGTGCTGGGTCACCCCGGTTTTGACCGGTGCTGACTTAAATACGTGTATATCTTTCAAATTTGTGAATCTTTTGAAATTCATGTTGTTTTTCCAAATCTCTATACTTTTCACGTTTGCGTAAAAAATTCAAATTCGGATACCTTTTTAAAATCCGCACTATTTTCAAATCCACGTACTTTTTCAAGTTCACATAATTTTCCAAATTCGCATACTTTTTTCTAGTTCGCGTATTTTTCTCAAATCCGCGTACTTTTTTCATGTTCGTGCACTGCTTTCAAATTCGTTTACTTTTTCAAATTCATGAACTTCTATAGAAAGTACGTGGATTTGAAAAAAAACACTTGAACTTGAAAATGGTATGCAGACCTGAATACAATAAATGGATTTGAAGAAAGTACGCGAATCTGAGTCAAAACACGGTCAAAACCGGCAAAAGTCAGCACCAAAACCGGTCAAAAACGTGTCGAGGGACGAACCTTGTCCGGTTTTAGTGGTTTGGGGTGCAAGTTGTCCGGTTTCAGAGTTGAAAGACCAAATCTAGACTCTGTCAAGAGTTGAGAGACGAAAAGTATATTTTTCTCTAGAATGGGCCATACCATATGAAGTTTTCGGGAGAAAAAAACCTAAAGTCCTCCCTCATGTTTTCATCTCTTTGTGTCTACAATTTTTGTGTTTCTCCCGAGTGACATCCAGAAGATAGTTTTGCAGTTTTCATGTAGCTTTAGTTCATGTAGGAATACGAGATTCATGTCATTTCAGTTTCTGCTTTTTCTTGTTCCTACGTCTTGAGTTCATGTGTTCCAAATGGGACGAGGAACTTGGCCTTTACCTCCTCCATACATGAGACTTCAATGATATGCCACTATATACTTTGAAATTGATAATTGTCACACTTAACTATGGAACCTTAAGGATTTGTCCTTTTAAACTTGGTACTTTTTTGTCGTAAATGCTAACAACACAACTCTTCATTAATCTCGAATAAGAGGTATGGCGTCAGCATGAATGCAAGTGGGACCCCAACAAAATGAAAACACCATCACTGCTAGTCAAGTTCCAGCGGTCGGTTTATTAGGGACCGGATCTTTGAAAGATCGATGGCGTGGCAATCATTCATCTTGTGATGAACTGCGAGGCCACTTGGTTGATGGCTGAATCCATGCTTTGGAAGATCCCTTCGTTCCTCTCTTTCAAGTTGCCCACCAAACCAATTGCACAAGAGAGTTCCACACCACGCATACAGTGAACTTTGGGCATGGCGACGCAACCCGCCTGCCACAAGTCCAAGAGGGGAGTACAACTAGTGACGGGGAGGGCGCGTCGGGAAGTTTGAAATGTTGTAGGACCTCGATCCCAAATTCCTGTGAGAAGGGGCAGTAGGCCAGCATATGGGCGGCGACGTCTAGAGCGGAACGATAGAGAGAGCATGGTGGATCGTGAGGCCATCCACGCTTCGCAAGGTTGTCTGTCGCCAGGCACTTGCCCATCGTAGCCAAAAACGAGAACACTTTTGGCGGGGTGGCATTCGAAAAAGATGTGGTCCACGTCTTCTAGACATTGCACACAACAAGTCATGCCTCTTTGATGCCTAGGTTTTAAGGGAGACAACTGTCAGGACCCCGACTCAATGCCACACCGATCTAGCATGTAACACCTCATATCACTTTGCGGCCTCACGCACGGTATTCCCACGGATGTCGCCTTACCAGGCCCGGGACCGTTTGCGCCTTTTGGCACACGTATATGATAGTGTCGCTAGCATCCATATGACAAGGAGACCGGGCTGACATGTCTAGTCGTAAACCCAAAGTGGCACTAACTTACAGGGACATGCATACATGACCCAGCAACGAATGTGTCGTTCATCAGCGAGTGAATCCGGGCTGTAGCAGCTGGGCTTGCAGGACTCCGGTAAACCGGGGATGTAGCAGGCTAACAGGACTCCGGTAGACACCACGTGACATTTCCCGAAAGGGACAGACACAGGAACGAAGAAGGACACATGCCGGTCAGCCTAAATGTTCCAGAGCAGTAGCAAGCTACCAAGGCTCAATGGAAGCACTAGGAGACATTTTCCGATAAGAGAGACTACCAAGGATAAACAACTAGATAGTCAGATCCCACACATACCAAGCATTTCAATAACATACACACAATATGCCCGATATGTGCAAATACAACATGGCATCACAACATGACTCTACAACTCAAGTATTTATTCATTAGGCTCCGAGGAGCGAGATATTACAAACATGGGTCTCATGACCCAGCATTCAGAGCATACAGGTCAAAGCACATGCGGAAGCTTAACATGTCTGAGTACAGACAACTATAAATGAAAAACGCTGAGAAGCCTGACTATCTACCAGATCCTGCCGAGGGCACAAGATCGTAGCTGAGGTAACAAGCTAAACGTCGAAGTCCACGCGGAACTACTAGTGAGACGGAAGTCTCTGCAAAAACATAAAATAGGCAAACGTGAGTACAAATGTACCCAGCAAGACTTACATCAGAACTAACTACATATGCATCATTATCAACAAAGGGGATGGTGGGGTTTAACTGCAGCAAGCCAGCTTTGACTCGGTGGCTATCCTGAACTACGATTGCAAGTAACTCTTTTGAGGTGGCGCACACGAGTCCACATATTCACCATACCAATACACCACTATGGATCCGCTCCCGTCTCCCTACGAGAACGCCACCCATAGCACTCACGCTTATCTTGCGCATTTTAAAGTATCCACTTTCACTTGTCTATGAATTGTACAGGCAACCTAGAAGTCCGCGGACACGACTATTCGAATAGATGATGTTAACCCTGCAGGGGTGTACTTCTTCACACACGCTCTCTCCACTTACCACCATGTACACGTCGTGTATCTCGGCAACCTTCAAGCAGAAGCCTGGCGAGGGAGTCGGCCACGACCTGACTAACCACACAAGTCTTTAGTCCAGGTTTATCGCCTATTCGGGTTCCATCCACAAGGAGATCCGGCTGGGGTGTCGCTCACGGCCCCAAACGATGTGAGCAGGGTTCCCAAGCCCACCATCCGGGTGCCAATTGGTACACCGTGCCACTGCGCCTAGTCTGTCCCAAGCCCACCTGTATCGGGTGCCACCTGGTAGACTACTAGCACTACCTACAAACACCAGAAACTAGTTGCAACTCCTGGACAAATATCGAGTTGATTAATAAGTCAAGAGGGGCACTTAAGCATTCCAATGTGTGGTAGTAGTTGTTCATGGATCACAAACACAGAACTCAGTTCCTGAGGACGGTTTCAATGAGACAACCACCATGTACTCCTACATGGCCTCTCACCGCTACCTTTACCAAATCGTGTTCACACACTTAGCTCTCAACAGTAGGACATGTTCACCACACTCCAATTCATCACCGATGAATCAGACCTGACTCAACTCTAAGCAGT